TATGCTATAATTCTAGCCGAACCTGTACCACTAAAATCATCAACAAACAAATCAGAAAGTTAATAAGGATACAACTTAAAAAATCAAACAACCGGAACGTTAGAAAGAATCTTTATATAAAAACTAACAAAGAAGAATTGACTATTCAAAGATTTATGTACAAAATCCAATCGTAAACCCAAGTGGGAGATTTTATCTATGTTTTATTATTACGGAGCCAATTTTGTTGTAAGATAATTAATGGAGGGTAGTAATTAAATACATTAGGGGGTGGCCACTTTTTTTGCCCCTCAGCATATTTTAGTTCAGTCGTTTCACTACCTAAGCATTCCACCATCTAAGGTTGGTCGGGGTTATAAGCACGGCGAAGCAAAGCACACTGTCCATCTGTTAAATAGATCGAATTTATTGGAGTCTGTGAAAATTTTAAGAAACGATGAAAAATCGAAACCTGTTTGGCGATGAAACAGCAAAGATTCGCAGATCAAAATGACCCCAAACGACCTGTAGTTTAGTCAAGAATGTAAACTAAGTGATATTTTAAAAATTAAAAAATGGTGAAATGCCAAAATCTGTCAGATGAAACATATAAATATAGGCTAGTCTGACGACCAAATCAGCGAAGATGGTTTGGTTAGGTTTATAAGCAGGGTGACGTTGGGCACAACACTTCCCCAAAGGATGTCTAGTTTAGATTGACGTTATTATGATTTATGCAATTTTAATTTTAAATGATGAAATTCCGAAACAAGTCTGTTGGCCTAAAACAGCGAGTGTAGCTAGACCAAAATGATCCGAATCGACCTGGGGGGGGGGGTCTTTTTGCATTCTTCAGCTGTGGATTGGCCTATGCGTTTCTTCTTTTATTTCTGTACTTCGCATTCACCATTGAAGTATGTATTGAGAAGGATGCTCTGATCTTCTAAGAGCGCACCTATCGGTCTTTCTTTGTTTATTGTGCAAGACTTACACCTCCACAAGCGAGGCTTCGTGTTGCTCAACTCCGAGTTAGTGTGACCAGATCTAGAATAGTGCCGTTTAGAGGAATTCGTGTCTGCAAATACACACCCTAACCTTCTGCATACCGCATAGGTCAGTAACAATCCTCAAGAGCAAGCGAAGCATCAGACGCACTATGGCAGTTGGTTGGCACGAGTGATGGCCCAGTCTCTTCCAACAAAGGCGTAGCGTCTAGCTTTCTTGAAGTATGTACTGCTGTAACAGATAAAAAAGACATGTCCTCAAACAGCAATACATTCAAATGAACATTTAATTAAAACTTAATAATTAAATAAAATATTGTGAAAAGTCAAATTGAATCGTATTCAGTTCACCCTCATCTTCCGGTATTGGATAAAATTTCCCGTTTCGAAGGTGAAAAACATTTTTTTTTTTTTAAAGCGGTTGCGCTTTTTTTCTTCAAACTAGAAATAAAACAGATCGGGTCTCAAACTCAACAGTCACACAATTTAATTGATACGTCTGAATGGGCAAGAAATACTATCCGGTCAGCCTTGTAGACTGAAGTGACAGCGATACGGGAAAAAGTGCCTCGGCTGGAACTTACCGGTTTTTATATTTTCAAGGATGATTTTCTCATTTATTTTCTTTCTGCCGGGGATTTGCATTTAGGATATATTTGCCTGGGCTCTCCTACCTCAACGATAATTTTTTCCTTTATTTCTTTCCTACTACCAGAAGCTTTTGGTGACTTCTTTTTTTTTGAAGAACAATGGAAGCTCCTTTGAAATTTCAATTTTTAGGATGTTCTATTAGCTTCCAGACGTAAAAACCTGGACCAAATTAATTATTAATTAACTAATTAAATAAGGTTATTCAAGCAAACTTTTTCTCATTTCCCCGAAAGAGATAATTTGTAGTACAGCAACTAACCACCAAGTTCTCTAACCCTTTTTAGATGGCCCGGTTGAATTTCTCTTGAATAGATAACGTTATCGAAAAACCGAAAAATACATACGTCATATTTTTAGTCTAGTTTTAAATGTTTCCTCCTTTTTGGTAAAATTTCCGAGTCCGTCAGGGAACCTTTTTTGGAGAAAAATTGTACAGCGTACCTCAGTTCCAGTTCATCTTCACATCCTGACTTACCATTTTAAAGGATTTTTTACGCTGAAAACAATTGTGCAGTTTTAAATTGGTCAAAAAATGACAAGTTATGGCGAACAGTTTGAAAAAACAGCCATTTGGTTTAATATTTATTTCATGTTCGAACTGCCTGCCTTGCGTAAAGAAGCAAAGATTTGCTCTTTTTAACCATTCTTCAACGGTGCTCAGAGTGATGAAGTGATGGATTGGCAAGCATTTTCTACCCTTCGCCACAGATCTTCAACTGATGTTGTGGATGCCTGGGTTATGTTTGGCATAGACACTGTTTTTTAAATGGCCCCATAGAAAATATTCAAGTGGAGTTAATTCGGGTGACCGAGGAGGTCAACAGATCGGGTCATGACGTCCTATCCACCAATCCTGGAAGTGACGATTTGAAAAACGTCTCACCTGCAAAAAATTGTGTGCTGGGCATCCATCAAGCTGGATAATCGTTCTTGTCATTGTGGTAGAGGAACATCATCTAATGGTAATATTGGTAAAACCTCCCTCAAAAATTTAAATTTAAATTAGATTAGAAGAAATAAGGCCCAATTAATTTATTTCCGAGAAGACCACACCAAACGTTGATACTGTGAACCACCTGATGATGACAAGAGTACGAAGTTCTCGCATTTTCCTCCTCTCAAGTTCAAACAATCCGACGGTTTAGTATGCCATTAGAGGTGAACTTGGTTTCATCAGTCCATAGGATGTTTGGAAGAACGTTTTCTTCAGCCTCCCAAATCGGAATTTGTGCAAGGAACGTTATATGCCTGTCATAATCAGAGTCTTGAAGTCCCTGGACAAGATGAGAGCGACACTGCTTAAAATTGTAAGCCTGGAGTGCATCTCTAATTTTATTTTTTGAAAAACCTAAAATCCTTCCAACATTTCGTAGAGAGGAATTCGGATTTTCACGAACATACAGAAAAATTTCAATTAACTGTTGTTCTTTATATATGATCGGGATGAAATGAAAATGTCTGAATTAATTAATTGAACATCATAAAAATTACGGACAAAAAACAAATCATCTCAGGCAAAATTTTGATAGCATGAAGACCGATAAACATTGAAACAATTCCAGTATATTTAGTGGACTATTGACCAAATTACTTCTTTCAATTAATTAATCTTTTTATGTAAGGTTTTGGTCGGAATGAAAAAGGTAGTGACACGAGCGGGATTCGTACCCACGATCTTCGGCTCAATATTATACAGGGTACGTCAGGCCCAGTTCAAATTCAAAATGTCAAATACATCCTGTTACATAATTTTACATAACCTCGATACAAAAGAGTGGAGTTTTTGGTGTGACATTCGTTAGAAGGATCTAATCAATGATATCAGATGAGGGCAATTTTCTAAAAAGGGACGTGTCTATATTTACGGAGACGGTCGGTCTGGGTCAACGTGCGACTTTCGCAAAAGATAGTAACCTCATTAATGCATATGTGTACGTGATTGTGATCATGCGAGCATGGCGGATGGGATGCTGACACCGTACAAATAAGTGGACCGATCCCGTGGCTCCTTACAGCTTCCTGCAATTTCGCAGGAATCGGGTAAAACTACGGTTTCACGGACAACGAAAAAAAAACCATTCACTTCCTCACATTAAATCAATTCGATATATAAATTATATTAATATTGAACATCAGAATATCAAATTTTCAAACTTCAACGACCAACCACAATAACACTATCATTTATGTACAATATGTGTTTTTTACATTTTGAAAGCGAAACTTGGGCATGTTTGAGGACTCCAAATAAATAAATTCTTGCTTTACGTCACATTTTAGCCTTCAAATTACCAATGCCTTTATACATCGTGGTACAAATTCGAAACTTGACTAAGAAATATTAAACACGCATGTTTTGTTTTTTTGATAGCATCATCGGTTCAAGAGAAATTCTGCCGGGCCATCAAAAAAGACACCCTGTATACGTATTAGGGCAGGTGTTCCTCAGGGAAGAATACTTGGCCCATTTTTATTTTCAATATACCATTATTCACTGCAGATATTCCTACATGTATTAGCATTTCAACATGTACATTCTCAGATGATTCAGCGATCTTATACGTAATTCTCCCCTTATATTACTCCTCAATTAACACTCAATTCTTACACGAACACCTGAATGAATTAACAGTATGGTTCACTAAGTAGAGAATGAAGATAAACCTAACGAAAAGCGTACAGATAAATTTTACCCTACGTAAACATATCTGTCGTGCAATGAGTATAAATGGAAACCCCATTGCCTCCCACTGACGTTGTTCGTTATCTTGGACATTTAATGGATAAACGTCAATGGATAAACCGTTGCTGCCACCGACGCCCCACTACCGTTTATTACTTCCTAAAATCAGTAAATGTGTCAAGGAAATGTCAGTAAGGTAATCGGAACTGATATGCAAAATTGTTATCGATTGGCGTGGCCTGTATGAAGTGAAGTGTATGACACCTTATTTGGTCACAGGTTGAATTTAAACCAAACCAACATCCTTCAGGCTTCTATTGTTCCCCATTATTTTTATCTTAATTTATAAGGTTTATTTCGTCCTTTTGTGAAAGACGTTTTAGGTTTTTACAATCGAGAAAGACAAATAAACTATTTAATGACAATTAGAAATATTATTTATGTAAGTGTCTGAAAATATTTTTTTTCCTTTCCTCTTGATGGACTGGCGTATTATGCCAAGATTTTCCACGAGCTGAAACAAATCGACATTCTTTTCTAAAGCGACGTTCGTTTAAGGATTGACGATAAGAATTGAATAAATGCATAATTCAAAACACCGAGGAAGGAGCCATTAGTGTTAACTTAGCGTATACGTTATCGAGAGTTTTTGATGAGGTAGCACGGGTTCTTCTCCATGGTTTGTTTGAGTCAGTACTATCTCGGACGGCCTGGTGACAACATTTTAATAGCTTTGTTTAAACTCGAGAGAGAAAAAAAAGGTATGCTTGTTTGAAGATTATTTTTGAATGTATTAAGTTCTGGAAAGTCCTGGAAAACAAGGTTGTGGGGTCCGTGTCTAAATGGATTTTCCATCGGGACAGAGCAGATGCGTGAAGACAGACAGGCAACTGGGTCAAACAGAATCGGATAGATGACACAGAATCGAGGGGACGATAATTGCTCAGCAACCATTCTTCCCACGGCTTGTCTCATCTCACGGTAAACATCATCTTCAAATAACTGGCGTTTTTCAGTTCTTTTCTTTAGGGAGAATGGACATTTTAGATACTGTAGTCAAAACGGAAAGTCCTGGTTTAACATGGCTGTTTTTACATGGCCCAAGTCACGTAAAAACAGCCATTGTAACTTACATCTGATTTGACTAGTGGGGGAATTTTAAGTTCGGGTTTTCGCTAGGTGTAGAAAAAATGGAGTATTGAGAGAGGTGAGGATGTTGTGGTTAGATATTCAGAAAGGGCACCCGATGCTTTGGAACCTCTACATTCTTTGAATGTTAGAGAATTAGGTTGAATCCCAGAGTTCAAGTCCATAAGTCCATACATTTTTTAAAATTTATTCAGATCATCAGTCAAGTAATTGAAAGAACAACTGATACCGTCTTTTAAGTATAGTTATTGAGTTTCACGTCAGTCTTTGTTCATAGGTCCCAGCTAGCATACATTATCAGGATCTGGTGTATCAGGATATAAAAAAGGGCGTTAAAGTTAACTGTCACATATTTACTTTTAGACTTAAGATGTTACTTTTTATTTATTGCAACCCAATTCCAACCCGATTTTGTTGATTTCTGCTGGTGACCATAGGAGCGAGATGAGGTCTTAAGGTACAGGTCGACATTTCCGTAAAAGGAGAAATAGGAGTGTCATGTGTACATGGTATAAATAATAGGACCTATTCCTTATGGACACAGGCATAATCAGTTCAGCACAAAATGTATCATTTAACAATGTGATGGTAGTGAACAATAAAAAATATGGCAGGAACGTTTCAGAACACGGGGATGGGAGAAAGGAACCTGCCATTGCTGGAATTCTCGATCTTTAGGATTCCTGGTTGATCGGTTTAGGGTTGTCATGAGTATGTACGAGTATGTATTTTTAATCGGCGTTGAGGATTGTTAGGGTGGAACAAAGAAGTCCTTGGACTAGAGAAATGGTGTGGAAGTTGTGAAATTTTTCTTCACGTCCGTCACGAATAGTATGCCTAGGTCTTTGTAGGCGTTTTGGTTAATGGCGTAGAAGGAATTTGAGGATGTGACGCACAAATGTCGATTGAAAGGATTGGATTCTTTGGATATTGGATGGCTTGGCTGAATCCAACATCTCGACTACGTAAGTCAAAATCGTCTAATTAGTGTCTTATATATTGTTAATTTATACTAATGCATAATAATTGCGGATTTGGGCCCAAGTGACCTCCGAGTTTTCTATATCTTCAGTTGAGTTCTTGTCTTTTGTTGTTCTTTTTTGATGTGAGTGTTCCATGTAATTCTCCTGTCAAAATATAACTCAAGGTAGTGTTAGTATATGTGCACTGGTTTCATCTGTGCAACGTCACGTGCCAGATAGTAAGGTCTAGATATTTTTGGGTTGATTACGCTGCAAAAATAGGATTAGAATGTGATGAAAGGATTGCGGTGTCGAGGAAGAAATCAATAAAATAAAAGACAGAAGTCCTTCCTCAAAACTTGGAATTATCTGTCGGACCTGTAGGATTGCAGTAAGGTAAATCAACGGAAATTATAATTTTCTTGAAATAGCAATCCAATTTATCTAAAGACTGTGCTACGCCCACCAATATAAAGACATAAAAGAACAGTAATAACGTGTTTAAACGTCATTGGGTCTACACTCGCGGAATTTTGTTTATGTTACCCAAACGCTGTACTCCTCCTGAAGATGACACAAGGCTGAAATTCATTTGAATAGATGTAGACAGACTCAGTAACTAAAAGTGCTGGTTCAACATTGTTCACCGACTCTCAGACCGACACCCACTATCAACGGACTGAGATTTTACTAATGGACGAAAGCACGTAACGATATGTTTCTGCAGAATGTACCTTCATCTTGAAAGTTTTTCGTTTTAACCTACACCAATAAATAAAAATAGACGTTAAGAAAGAATCTATTGCATAAACACCGTTTAAAATGAAGATATTATCTAAGATTAAAATTCATTACAGATGGATATCATGGTGACCATGGCGATTGCTCTTTTAATCGGCTATCTGCTTTATGTCTATTCGAAATGGAAATCGTTCCCCCCTGGGCCCTGGGGTCTTCCCATCGTCGGCTACCTGCCCTGGATCGACAAGGACAAACCATACATCACACTGACTGAACTGGCGAGACGTTACGGCCCCATCTATAGCGTGTCGATGGGCTCGGTCTCGACCGTCGTTGTCTCCGACGCGCAGCTGATCAAGAACGCGTTATCCAGGGACGTTTTCTCTGCGAGGGCCAACCTCTACCTCACACATGGAATTATGAAAGGATACGGTAAAAACTTTACTATTAAATAGAAATACATTATGCATGAGTAAAAAAAACCGCATTAAATAAGACATAACGAAAGTTATATTTTAAATATACTAGCTATGAATTTTACAAAATAGTGGTTTGCCAAGTTGCTGTATAAAAGTCGCGGTGACTGGTTAGATTTTTGGGAAAATGGTAGAGTGAGGCGTACCCTTAGGGATTGGGGATAATCCCTGCCCAAACATAAATAATGGTTCATTTATATTTATTAGGTTTCGTGGTCCGCTTGACCAAATAAATTATTTTCAATTAATTAAGGTTTTGGTTTACTTTTTTGTGTCACAAGTGGGTTTCGAACTCACGATCTTCGGCTAAATACGCCTGTGCTCTACCACTTGAGCTATCGTGACTTCGATCCACTCGGACACCAACTTCCCATCTCAACCCCACCTTTTGAATTTTCCCTCCTTTTTGCCATTTTTCAAATGTGTAATCTATTTGATTCTTGGTGACAAATCAAAACGTGGAGTTGGGAAGTTGGTGTCCGAATGGATCGAAGCAACGATAGCTCAAGTGGTTAGAGCAGAGGCTTATTTAGCCGAATGTCATGGGTTCGAATCCCGCTTGTGACACTGACGTTTTTATCTCAACCAACACCTTAATTAATTGAAAATAATTGTTAATGAAGAAGGGCTACGTGAACGGTCTGTAATTGCATTTTCTCAAAATCTGGATCAATGTAACATGAGATATATTGAGTAAACGATCAATTTTCATACTAAGACAAATGAGGAATTTAGTGCCAACAGTCTGCATTAAATTTTGCACTCAAAACTACTTGCGCCATAAAATTAAAAACTTGCCTTTACTGAAGGCTTCCTGCACCTTTAATATCAAGGTCTAGTAATGCATAAAATACCTGGGAATACGAAATCAGGTAATTCTGGTGTGTGTACCAGTGAACAAGGTGATTGAAGCAACGAACAAGCTCACTAACTAGCAAAAACAGGTGCGGCTGTCACACTTTTTGGACCAGAACCGCAAATTGGCACGCCTCAAAGCACATCAAATGAATGGAGAAAGAGATGGCCACAAAAACAATCAAAGAGGTTCGCAATATCCCAAGTGGAAAATCAAAAACTACCTATTTAATTAAGAATTAAGGAAAATAGGTTTTTGTTATTTGTTTTTTGGTTGTTGAACAACATACTGCAGCATGGAATTTTCCTTCGTATATTATAGTATTAAAAAATACTAATATTTAATACTAGAAAACAATGAAAACAAAAAGATTTTTTATAGGTATACAAATGCAATTAACACTGAAGAGGACTTATGTCATGATGTCGAATACTGTTACGAAAGAAAATTCCATGCTGCAGTGAGTTGTTCAACAACCTACAATACAAATAATAAATTTATAAAATAAACAGCAAAAATGTAATTATTATTATTTTTAATATATAAAAATGATAGATTTTTATCCTGGCCACACGTTCAACTACCACCAAAAAGTGAAAAACAGAGACAGAAGCCTGCCAACTTACTAAAAAGGAGAAATATCATAACATACCCTATGTGTCATTGCAAAGCAGTCCGGGAACGGTACAGCCTTTTCGAAACGTCCTGGTGCTTAAGGGTAGTGCACTTTGGGGCTTTGGAAATAAAGAAGGGTCAATTTCACAATAGATCTTTTAGGCCGCAGTGGAAGAAAGGGAGAATGGTCAGTTCAGTGACCCCGGAGGGAAAAAACAAACAGATAATACGTTTTGACCACGATACATGTTTTAAGTTAATATGCAATAATAAAAATTTAATGTCTCACATCATTACACGTTTTAGGTGTATAAAGCTTTGGTTTGATAGCAATTGCATAGTTATAAATAAAGATATGGAAAGCATATGGAAGACGGCGACTCATCACTGTAAAGGTCCAGAACTAAAATATCAGCAGCCCTGATTTTCTTTTTTTAAATAAACATCGGCACTGAGAGGGTAGATGACATCGAGATTATTATGAATTCGCTGGTGCCGACTCCCGAAAAAAAAGGAAACCTAACTTACTATTAATTTTATATTGTATACAGGGTGTCCTTTTGATAGATGGCCCGGCAGAATTTCTCTTGAACCAATGGCGCTATCATAAAATCAAAAAATACGTGTTTAATATTTTTTAGTCTAGTTTCAAATTTTCACCATTCGTGAAGGCATATTATACAGAGTACCTCAGGCCCAGTTCAACTTCAAATTTTCAAACGTCCTGACATAGCCATTTTAAAGGATTTTTTACGCTGAAAACAATGGTGCAGTTTTAAATTGGTCAAAAAATGACAAGTTATGGGAAACAGTTTGAAAAAACAACCATTTGATTTGATATTGATTTCATGTGGGAACTGCCGGCCTTTCGTAAAGAAACAAAGATTTGCTCTTTTTAACCATTCTTCACCGGTGCTCAGAGTGATGGAGTCAGGGGTGATGGATTGGCAAGCATTTTCTACCCTTCGCCGCAGATTGGCGTTGTCATTGTTTTTTAAATGGCACCACAGAAAATAGTCAAGTGGAGTTAAATCGGGTGACCGAGGAGGCCAAAAGATCGGGCCATGATGTCCAGTCTACCTATCCCAGAAAGGACGGAAATAACGACTCACCTGCAAAGAATTGTGTGCGGGGTCTTTGTCGTTGTTTGCAGAGGAACATCATCTAATACAAAAAAACTGTGGAATTATTTCGTAGAAATATGGCCCAATTAATTTATTTTCGAGAAGTCCACACCAAACGTTGATAATGTTTACTAGAAGAATACGAAATTATCGATTTTCCTCTCCCCACATTCGAAAATTCCACCCGTTTAGTGGTGAACATGGATTCATCAGTCCGTAGGATGTATGGAAGAACGTTTTTTCAGCTTCCTCAAATAGATATTTGTGAGGATAGTTAGACGCCTGTCATAATCAGAGTCCCGAAGTCCCTGGGCAATATGAAAACGATACAGCTTAAAATTGTAAGTCCGGAGCGCATCTATAATTTTATTTTTTGAAAAACCTGAAATCCTTCCAACATTTCGGAGAGATGAATTAGGATTTTCACGAGCATACAAAAAATTTCAATTAACTATTGTTTTTTTATATATGATCTTCGTTGAAATGAATATGATTGAATGAAGATGACTAATAATTCAACATCATAAAAATTACGGGCAAAAAACAAATTATCTCAGGCAAAATTTTGATAGCATGAAGACTGATAAACATTCCAACAATTCCATTATATAAGATAAGGTATTGGTCGAAATGAAAAACTTAGTGTCACGAGCGGGATTCGAACCCACGACCTTCTGCTCAAGACACCGTTGCTCTAACCACTTGAGCTATCGTGGCATCTATTCGCTCGGACACCAACTCCCCATCTCAACTACAAACTTTTGAATTTCTGGATGGAAGTCATAACCGGACACCCGAAGTCCCTGGACAATATGAGAACGATACGGCTTAAAATTGTCAGTCCGGAGTGCATCTATAATTTTATTTTTTGAAAAACCTGAAACCCTTCCAACATTTCGAAGAGAGGAATTCGGATTTTCGCGAACATACAGTAAAATTCTTTTTATGTAAGGTCTTGGTTGAAATGAAAAAGTTAGTGTCACGAGCGGGATTCGAACCCACGATCTTCGGCTCAATACGCCGCTGCTCTAACCACTGGAGCTATCGTGGCTTCCATCCGTTCGGACACCAGCTCCCCATCTCAACCTACAAACTTTCGAACTGGATGGAACTCATGATAGCTCAAGTGGTTAAAGCAGCGGCATATCGAGCCGAAGGTGGTGGGTTCGAATCCCGCTCGTGACACTAGCTTTTTCATCTCAACCAGACCTTACATTAAAAAAAAAGTATAATTAATTGAAATAATTTACTAAATATAAATGGATACAGTATCTATACACAAATATTCAGCTCCTTTTCGAAATTACGCTGCAGGCTTCTTTTTAGATTTTTTTTTCATTTTTTGACTAACGTAAAAATCTTTGCCTTTTGACGCAAGGCAATTCGTACATGAAATAAATATCGAACCAAATGACTGTTTTTTTTTTTCACATTTTGCCATATCTTCGTCATTTTTTGACCAATTTAAAATCCGATTCCAACGTTGTTTTCAGCGCAAAAATCCTTTAAAATGGTATGTCAGAACGAATTTGAAAACTTAATGTTGAACTGGGCCTAAGGAACCGTGTATAATTTGTCTCCAAAAAAAGGTCAATATTCAATCAATAAATTAACAAATATTGACCGCGTATTTTGTGTTTTTGATGGCGTCCAAGAGAAATTCAGCCAAGCCGTCTAAAAAAAGACACCCTGTATAAAATGGTATTAAAACCTCGATACAAAAGAGTGGAGTTTTTGGTGTGACATTCGTTAGAAGGATCTAATCACCGATGTCAGATGAGGGCAATTTTCTAAAAAGAGACGTGTCTATATTTTCGGAGACGGTCGGTCTGGGTCAACGTGCGACTTTCGCAAAAGATAGTAACCTCATTAATATTGAACATCAGAATATCAAATTTTCATACTTCAACGACCAACCCCAATAACACTATCATTAATGTACTACAATATGTGTTTTTTACACTTTGAAAGCACAACTTGGGCATGTCTGAGGACTGAGAGGACTCCAAATAAATAAATTCTAGCTTTACGTCACATTTTAGCCTTCAAATTACCAATGCCTTTAGGTATCGTGGCCCGTTTGATGTTATTAATCACTATTAGGATTACCTAATTTTCCTTTGTCTCTTTAGATTAGTTGGACGAGTTATTTATCAAAGAGGGTCAACGACTGATGTCTGTTGTGGCGGGAAAGCACGATAATTTGTGGAATTCGTCTAAACAACGTCTGGTCAAAATTAGATATAAAATCGCAGGTTTGATCTATCACACGAGTTTTTAGCATTTTTCTGTAGTTGGCCTGTGCGTCATTTCGCCGTCGTGTCCCATTTATACGTTTCTAAAAAAGTAAAGGGTTGGAAC